GAGAGAGAGAGAGAGAGAGAGAGAGAGAGAGAGAAATGATTTTGGTCAGATCTGAGATTCCGCCTTAGATCTCGTCCTGACCAGATCTCTTCTTCTTCTTTTTTTTTTTTTCCTGTTCTTACGCAGATCTGAATAACTTAACAGTTACAATTTTCAATTTTCCATAAGAATATGAAGTATTAGAAAGTCTAACTTCAAAGTTCAAAGTTCTGTTTCTTTCCTGAGTTTCGTACTCTTTTCTGAAGTAACTTGGGATTGGTCTGTCGAGAACTGGTTTCAAGTGTTGTGTGAGCCTTTGTGGATGTCTGTGACAGTAAGCTGTGGTTGGTACTGCTTATTACTAATGTTTTTGTTTTGTTTTGTTTGTTTGTTTGTTTGTTTGTTTGTTTGTTTGTTTTTCTTCCAGTCCGGACATTTTTGTGTCTGGTGTACCAGTCCGGACGGTCCGGGTCCTGTCCTGTCCGGTTGTCCGGTGCCTGTCCGGATTACCGGACGTCTGGACCAGTCCAGACAAATGTATGGGCCTCGGTCCAGACATGTCCGGGTCCGGGTCCGCGGTTGCCATGACGTATTCATAAGAAAACAAGAACAAAAAAACGCTACGGGCATTTTCATCCTAACCCATAACTGCCGACATGCAGACCTGAACGCCAACCTTCAGGATATATTGGTGGTCAGCCAGACATGAAAATGCAACCTGGGACTTCTGCGAAGTTCGTGGGGCAGGTCGTTACTAGGCGACTACCCCCTTCTAGCGAACTTACCCCACCACTGCGTGGGATTTGCAGAAGGGAGGGGGGAATGCCAGTTTGCATACCCCGCCTAAGGGAAAAGTTGGAATGAGCCCAATTATATGCTTTGCCTTTTTGAAACTTCAGGGGGTAGGGCCTGCGGAAATTGAAATTCGGCAGCCCTTGCCCAAAAGAAGTTTGGGCCGGGGGCGCGGCCGGTTTGCAAGCTCGCGTGGTGCATTTAACATTTTTGCCAAGTTGGGGACCCTAAGGAATGACAAAACCCGTACTTTTTTTTTTTTTTTTTTTTTTTYGGACCTAATTTTTACAGTGCGGTGCACTTGGGTGCCCTGCGCACGGTGCGTGTCTTCTTTAACCGTACTCCCCTGCATTTGTTCCGCATGCCACCATCAAAATCTGGTGTTCCAGTCCCCACCCACTTCCACATCCAACCCGTACGGTCCCGTACCACTTTCTTTTTTTGACTTTTTTTTTTTTTTTGAGATACAACATTGGCCTCTGTTCACTTACCTGTCCAAGACATCCTGCCTCCGAAGAGTGGAAAGTAGACCTTTCGCTGTACTCAGCAACGAGCTCTGGCCGGTGTACTCGGCCTCTGTTTTCCTGAGGGCAGTATTCGAGTCCTCTGCATACCAACGACCAGCAGGAACACATGCAGACAACGATGAGCAACGATGAGACCACATGCAGACAACGACGAGCAACGTTGACACAATTTGAATCATGACAAAAGGTTAGAAATACAATACATTGTCCTTTGGGACATCTGTTAAAACTGGAACGATACAAAGAAGATAAGCATGGCCCCTTTATAACAAAAAAGGAAATACGATACATTATTACATTCAATAATATATATGTGAAAAAAAAACGAGTAAGAAACTAATATATCATATATATGAATGCTGCCAGGGTTCCCAGGGCCGTAACATGCCGAAGTGTGCTGCCGAGTTGTATTCACTTTTAACTTGTCGCTGGAAAAGAAACTGGACTGCTGCTCCCCAGAACAGAAGGAGCCAAGTCAAAAAAATAAAAAAATAAAAAATTGTAAAACAGAATACAGTAAACCGTAGGCAGAGAGGGAGAAGAGGACAAGAAACGAGGGGCTGTGACAAACTGTTTCGTCAGAGTATATCATGGCTACACCGGACCCGGACCCGGACATTTCCGGACATGGAACCGGACCCGTGTCCGGTAGTTTCCGAACGTCCGGAATTCCGGACATTTCCGGACCTCCGGACATGGGGGGATCCGGACGGTCCGGAAGTCTGGACAGGTCCGGAAATGTCCGGACCATAAAAAAAAAATAAAAAAAATCTGAAAAAAAAAGTATGTTATGCAGAATAACAATGCAAACCACTTTTCCCTCAGAGTCATGTCAGAATTCCTAACCAAACTTGAGTTAAAAGTCAAAAACGATAAAAAGCTTAAAAAAAGACTTCAAAAATTAAAAACTAATAAAAGGTAATGAATTATTAATAATTAAAAAATTGGGGTTGTCTAATAAATTACTATAGAGAGAGAGCATGTCCGGACCCCCCAAAAAAGCATAAACGGGCCTGAAAAACCCCCAAAACAATTTTGGGGGCTTGGCTCCTCAATGGGGAAGGGTCCTGGACCGTTTTTTTTTTTTTTTTTTTTCCTCGAAATTTGCCAGATCCGGACCTTCCAGACCGGACGTCTGGATTCCGGACTGAATCCAGACGGTCCGGACGGCAGTCCGGACGTCCGGATCGTAGCCATGGAGTATATAGTGAAACTCCGACGAAACAGTTTGTCACAGCCCCTCGTTTGTTGTCCTCTTCTCCCTCTCTGCCTACGGTTTACCGGGCAGTTCTGTTTGTGACGATATATATATTTGTGACCAGAGTTGCCAGGCCGAACGTACAGAGGCCCCTAAGCTGACCCCCGGACGTTCGGGCGTTCGGGTCCCCGTACGGGGCCCAAACTCGAAGGGGTTCAGACCCCGCAAAAATATATTTTGGTACCTAAACATTATTATTTTTTTCTGATTTTTTTTTTGTGAGTTCTCTGTTATGTAAGCTACCTGTCTCTCAATTTTGAAGTCATTCTGTGGAGCCAAACAATAATGAAAAATCGGCAAACATGGTGGTGTCGAAACTTGCTTTCCCACTTACTAATTTGTTTTTTTTCTCTTTTCACTTTTTGTTTTCCCTTTATTTCGGGGCCTGAAAAAAGTTATTATTTATTATTTATAAATATATATATCGTCAAATAGAACTGCCCGGTAAACCGTAGGCAGAGAGGGAGAAGAGGACAACAAACGAGGGGCTGTGACAAACTGTTTCGTCGGAGTTTCACCGACTCATCAGGAGGCTGAACCCTCAACAGTCTG